TAGTTGGTAATAGCCGAGCTCTTCGCTCATAAATTGACAGGGTGCTGGCCTGACATAAAAACCACCTCGAAGGCAAAGCGCTGCACAAAGGACACCGCTGCCGCTGGCGCCAGCAGAAACGCTAGCGTCCGCGTTACTCATCTCTTTCGAGAGATCACAGATTAACTTTCCCTGTGCAACCCACAGCCAGCAGCTAAACATGGCCGTAGGCACGGGGAGCTGCAGCACAGCTCGGACCGTTCGGCCGCAGAGCGGCGGCACGCAGCACCCGCACCGACCAAGCTCACTTCTGTTCTCACCCCAAAGCAGAGGGCAGACAGCTCGTTGGCGCACGCCGGGGCGGCCGCCCAAGGCTGGGCCCACTCAGGACATTTCCTCCCCTTAGCCCCAGCGCTCCTGCAGCTTTGCGGTGGAATAAATCCAGTCCGCTGTGCCAGCCAAAAGTTTTTAGCCTTAACTCCAACATTGCTGGCTTCTGTGCATCAAGCCCTGATGTCACTTAAAATAAATGCTGCAGTTAGTTTCCAAAGGGACTAGATGAATATTGCTATTTTTTTAAAGGACATAAATATTATGACAAATAAGAATAAATGGTAATTATATCTAATAAAGCATGAAAGATAAGAATTACATGTAGCAAGTTACAAACTGATGGCCAGAACATTCTGGAAGCAGCTCTGTGCAGTGCTGTGCAGCACACAGTTGCACACAGGTATCCGCAAGCTGAACAGTGCCTTTTTCCTAACAGGACTTTGTTTTCACTGTTTCCAGGAGAAGGCAGTGACCTAGAACACCTTCACAGACTGGATCCCTAGTATCAGTCTAATTCATTATCATCATTAATGGAAAACTTGTATTGATTTTACAAAGATAAAGTTTTATCTACGGACAGCAGGAACATGTCCTTGCAAAGGCATAGTTCAATGTAAAGATATAAATACTAATGTATCTAACACTTCGGCAAGAAGAGTGAGAGTTGGGCCAATCCAGAATGCCCAATACACTTCTCCAGTCTGGAAACTTTGCTGTTACAGTAACGTCTTACTAGAGATCAGTCAGTCTGCGAAGTGTTCCAACAGTTCGGAGGATTCACAGGGTCTACCAAAAGCTTTCTAGTCTCGTACAGCAGTTCCGGAGTCCCGAGGGAAATCGATTACAAAGTATTTTTAAAACTAGTTATTCACCCACTGAACCAGACAATCTGCATTAATCTGCCAAATAGATGTAGATACATCTACACAGGCACAAAAACATTCTCATTAAATGCTTTTGGTTTTTTTAACTGAAGCTTCTGTATAATGGCTATTTCTCAGTCTAAAGCATCTCAAAAATTCTTAACCTTGAATCCACATGGCGACAGGTAACCCCACGGCTCTAAAACCAGATACGTGTCTAAATCCAACAGCTGCAAGGAAAAGTGCTAAAATAAGGCAACCTTGTACCTTGTACGCAGCATGTCGACAGTCTGACTGTAGCCTAAAGAAAGTGAAGCGATTGCATTCCGCACATAGAAAGTCTGTGGGAGAGTACCTATATCGTCCTGCGTGCACAGCGGCTAGTGCTCTGGATCTTCGGCCATAATAGCAGCTCCACAGATCTACAGAGGTACAAATAAAAACCAATTAGAGATCACGCAATCAGTTTTAATCTGCTACAATATTTATAAGCAGAGTTACAACACCTTAAAAATAAAAATGGAAAGGAAATGGAAGTGTCAGCAGACCTTTTACTAGAGTGCTGAATGGGGTGCAAAACACCACCCGGATCTGCAGTTCCCCTGCCAAGCTCGGATGCCAGGCATCGTACATGACGTGACCGAGCTCTGCGATTCCCAGCAAAGCTCGGGCAGGAGCTCAGAAATACTGCTCTCCTGAGGCAGGACTAAGAGTTGTTGGCAAAGTGACCACACCCAGCAAGAATCTGTAGATGGAGAAACTTATGGTACTGAAAATTGCACCATGACCTAAGGCAGTGGCTCCGCTCCACAGACATATCTGATTATTGGGCAGCACCGATGTTCCACAAATAGCTCCCTGCTGAAATGCCGTTCTAGTTCACTGCCCAGCTCCACCCAGGGGCACTGGGGACACCAAAGTAGTCTGAGAGGGCATCTCCCCCGTGCTGATGTTCAGCTGCGGGGACAGAGTTACACACTGGTCAAGGGGAAACACCACAGGGAAACTACCCCATGCCATCGCCAGCCCTTCCCCAGGGCAGAATGCCTCCCCCTTTGGTGGTTCTGGTAGCAGTGAGGGAGCACGCACCTTCCGCAGCACTCTTCCTGACACTCATGGAACTAAAGCAGTGGTACTACAAAGTCCTTGCCACTAACATCCTCCTCATCTCTGGAGCAAACAGTCTGCCCTCTTCTCTGCAGCAAGGAAGTGTTTTATTTAGGGAACTGTTAAACAATAAAAGTCTCGAGGACAAGACACTGAAAACCAGAGAGAGAACAGAAGCAACTACCTGTTGATGGGGGAGGTTAACCAGCTTCCACATCACAGCAAAGGAAGTAGAGATGAGTATGGTAAAGAGACAGAATTTGTGGGCATCTGAGCTTGGAAACACTGTGACTGGCACTTACACAGGTCATGATGTTCAGATAGTGCTGTAAGGTCAGATTGTTTCACAGGCTTAGGACTATCTTCATTTTTTATTGTTAGAATCCTGGCAGCACATCCCCCCAGTAAAGTGAGGTAAGCGCACATGAGGGAGGAAAGGTGTTGTAACCAATGACTAGATCAGAGCACGAGATAGGAGTGGGTGTAGCTGAAGTGTGATGATTCTTTCCCAAACCACAAGGGACTATAATTTCAATGATATATTTCTAGCCAAAGCATACACCACAGTTTAACGAGCAACAGAATCCTCTAGGCTGTCACAGTGTGTGTGAAAATATTCTACTATTTGTCATATTTCAACTTCATATTAATCTTGAATTACTCTCAAAGAACCTCCCTCATAACTCAAAGGTAAAACCTAGAATGGAGAAAGGCTACAATGCCCGAGTGCTGCTCAGAAGCAGTACGGTTCATGCCATGAACTGTGGTAAAGTACATTGTGTATCTATTCTCCAGCATCGGAAGAACCTTAAAACAAAATTTTGTACAAAACCTGCGAAGCTCTTGCTCCCTCACAGGAAAGGTTAGGTCTTTATACTGAAACCCATTTGAGCATTCACACACAGTAGCCTTTTGCACGTTCAAAATCCTGCACAGACATGAGCTGATAAATCCTCAGAACTCTCTGGCAAAATGTGCTATTGTCAAGTGCTTGCTCATTTCAGAGTCCACTGAAGAATAAGCACTATGTCTGAATAAAAGATTATGGCAGTGTTGTCACTTGCCAGAATGATTCAGGGATATGCACTGGAGGCTGTGAAGCATGCTCAGTTGTGGGGTTTCTTTAAGTGGCAGGAACACAGCAGCTAATTGAAAGCAGCTTTAACTCTTCACGAGCTGCTTCAGACCACAGTGTTTGCTAGTCCTGTCCAGATACAAGAATGTGGTTTTATTCTTTATGTAATCAAAGGAAAGTAACCAGAATTCACAGGCATAAACAGGAAAACATGAAAAAGCCAGAGCACCATCCTGAAAGAAAGGCTCTACATGTAAGAGCGAAAAAACCCAACTTATGTTAAGTAAATACTGAAAGTAAAAAAAACAAAAACCAAACACCCGCCCCAATCCTACTACATCCCAGGGTTTTTCAGAGATGCTGAGCATTTGCAGCCTACAGATAAAATCGGAGATTAGATGTCCAGCATTTCTGGAACCAACCCGAAGACACTTCATGCTGGGCATCTACAATTAAGGACTGAGCATCGTCAGCCACATTTAAAAAATTAGCCCAGATCTGTCTTAACAAATGAATTCTTGCTGCTCTTCAAACTTTACCACAGTGGATTAGTCTCACTTAGAACTAGATTAAATCCCACTGAAAATGATTGATGTGAAACGATGACCTTTCACTGTAGAACATAACATGAAAGACTTGGGGATAAGACTCATGAAGTGCAGAGATAAAACAAAATGTCGTTGCCAATATTTTCAAAAGTGGCCTCCTGTTCTGGGTGCCCTACTTGAGTCGCTGCGTAAGTGCTCATTTCCTCTGAAAATGAGGCCCCAAGCAAGTTCAGCCAGGCATCCAGAACCAGAGACTGCCCGAAAATATTGCCCTTGAAGTTGTATCGCCTGACATTGGTCCTGAGCGGGCCTCAGATGCGCCCATTCAGTAACAGTGATAGCTAGCAGGAGCTGTCAATGGGACTGCAAGCAGGGGAAGCTGCTTCTCCTGTCATTAATCCCCTCTAGCACTGTAGTGGGTTAGTTCAGAGAAGTTTTTCACTGGCAGCTGCCATGCAGGACCTCCATACTGCCATTTCTACGACAACACTTCTAACTTCGAACTACTGATAGGCAACAGCTCACTCTCTGTCCTTGCCAGTCTTAGGCCTGCCTGCCGAACTGCCAAGAGGAAAGCTGCCTTGAGCAGCAGTGATGGAAAATATGGACGCCTGCCTACTGGGAAAGTGTCCTTCGCACCTCAGGGACAGCTAAGTAACAGAACTTCTGAAAGTGCTCCTAGATTTCCATCCCCTTTCTGTGATCCAATAACACATATAAGTACTGTTCTTTGGGACCTTACATTCATTTTAAGATAAAAATGGCTTTGTTTTTTCTATCTAGGGTAAGCTCCTTCCTTTGATAGGCCATGCCACGTTGAGGAGGAGGAATGACAACAGCAGGTACAGCACATTCAGCTCAGTGCAGGTCAACCATGTGCTCGGAGTGCTTCTAATTACAGCTCCAAGCAAGAACAACATAAACACATCCAGAGCTTGCTATATATGGTAGGATAGCGAAACCAGGACATGACAGGGATGCAAATCACACCTAGGAAACAAGCACAAGCTAAGACACAAACTGAACAATTCAAATGCCAGACCAGTGTGAATACAATATAAGAACTCCACCACACTGTCCTTCAAAGACTAACTCCACTCAGCAGCACAGGCAGAGCAGGCCAAATGCTCAGCATCACTGGCGTTCGCAGAGATTCACTTGATCTCTTCCTCCGTTGCATGGCTATGCATCCCACCTGTTCTGGCTCACGGATGGGGAGGCAGCAGCCTCTGCTCAGATACCTGTCCTGTGAGATCATCTGTAGGCACAGCTTGCAAATTCTTGTCCAAATCCAGCTAGCTCCTCAAAAGTGTTTTGTGCAGATTCAGTATCTAGGTGGCGTGGGGCAAAGATGCTGCTAGTGGGCCAGAACATACTGTACTTCAACCACTTGACTTTACATCTCTTAAAGAGAAATACTTATAATTTGCTGCATTTCATGTATCCAGCTTTGAATCATCTAACATAAATTTTCAGAAAAGTAGTAAGTTATTTCATCTGGGAAATGACCTAGAAAATTCAGTTGTCCTCCAGAGAACAACTGTGCCAAATCTGGAAATGAACTTCATTAAGTGAAGAAGAAAAGCTTTAATTCTGCTTTAGCTGCGAAGCCTTTGTCAGATTTGAGTTTGGTAAAGAGACTTGTTGTTCTACCACTTCTTAGGAATTCTGGTGAATTGAGCCTCTTCTTTTTAATTAAAAAGAAGTCAAGAAGTCAAAACAACTGTGTTCTTGAACTATTAAAAAACTCACAAGGCCTTAGGACACTGGTATTGTTAAGACGGTAGAACAAAGCTCAGTTATCTCCAAACCCAAAATACCTGCATTCCCTAACATGGGCTGTTTTCTTAGAAAATGATCTATTTAATTTTGAATGACAGGTACCTAAAAGTTCTGTACAGGTGGAGTAGTGTTAATCTCATTTTTGTCATCTTCTCTGTCAGGGAACAGCACTAAATGTTTGAAAGGAACTGGAAGTACGTCTCATTGTAAGATGCATAGTTGCTCTTTACTCCAATATATGTATCTTCAACAGCAGGGAAACGTAATCACCCTGGCTTTCACCCACACATATTACATACCATTGACTAGCTAAATCATAGTAATCATAGTGACATGTCATATCATTAGGGGTGAGAAATAAAGTACCTGATTTGGGATCTCATACATAAATGTGTCAAGATCCAGTGTGAATTTCGCTGTCGGGCTGCTGCTCCTGCCCAACAGCCGTCTCATTAGCTGGTGCGTGA